GCTGTGTGTGGAGGTGGGCACCCCGGGGCCTCGCTGAGCGCCCCGTGGCTGCTGGGCCGCAGGCCTAGGGATGGGCAGGGCTCCCTGGCCGCTTCCCCCACATCAGAACAGGGCGGGCAACGGGTCCAGGGGAGGCTGTTGCCTCTTGGGCACCACTGTTGTCCAGAGGAGGCCGAACAAGTAGGGGGCAGCAGTAAATCCTGTCCTGGAGACCCGGAAAGAAGGATGGCAGCACCTTGTCAGGATGAACCCCAGGAACACTGCTGGGGTAATACAGCTCTATCTAACTTGAGTCATTTGTCAAACATCTACCAGGCAATTGCTGCTCTGTTATGTGGCTATATCTCAGCAGTGCGTCTGCCATCTGCGAGATAATCACCCCTTTGGTTTGAACTGAAAAACAAAAGTTATTTTGTGATGCATGAGGCCTATAAACCTGGACCAAGCTCGGATGTGCTTTTCAAGGGTTTGCTCTTCCATGACCCTGCCAGTAACAGATAGACATTATGGACCATCCTTATCACCAGCGAGTCTTTACTGTACTTACATGCAGAGGACTGAAATATCGAAGTGTAATCATATTAAGGCGAGATGCTAATTTACAGAAAATGTTACGGAGAAGATTCTGCTCTTCAAAGTTTCATGGTACCAATGCACTACAGTGAGGGAACACATTAAAGAAAGCTGGAAATGGCACAGATAACAACTAACATGTTAGCTAAAATATGAATCTGCTGCATTGTATATTTTAAGTGGTTTCTATGAAATTACATTGAAAGAGTAATGATTAGTTTACACACTGTGGAACTGTTATATTTTCAAAAGAAAAGTAATATTCTCACCTTTCAGAAAATTCTATTTGAATCCTTTTTGCCAATGTTATAACAGAATAATCAGTCACTTAACGCATTCACCCTTCCTGCAAGTTCACCGCTGCTTACAGTAAAGTCTCTCTTTATCTGTTTATTTAAAGGTATCATCAGCCATCACTACTTTATAGCCTAAATACAAAAAAAAAAAAAAAAAAAAAAGAACTGTTTAATGATTTACTTGCTAGGTTTAATGTTGCTGTATTTTTATTACCAATCAACCCGGCCTCTCCTCCCTGAATGGTACTTCATGAATTTATTTGGCACATAGCTTCTAAGATTCCTGGTCCTAAAGTCCATTTGTCTGTCATTAAATATATTATATTTTACTTAATTGTTAAAAGGTACGTTTTAAGCTGGTTAATCTTTGACTTATTTATTGAAACTTTTCAGCACATTCCAAATTCTAAGTTGCTCAGGAAGAAGTTGATTTAAATGATTTTATTTTGGTTTGATGAATATTTCTTATTCAAAAAAAAAAAAATCATTGTTTGTAAGCCTTTAGCCCACGACAGCGTTGTAGGAAGTGCCATGCATATACTTGTAAATCTTTGTGGGAGAAAAAGGTGGGTGCTTGGCATTTATGAAAATAAGAAAGCATATGTGTACATTAGCTTAGGTATAAATGAAAGCAACCTATGTTTTGGGATGAAATATTCTTTAACTTATTCACTACCGTCTCCTGAAATATAAACAAGCCATATGACTCTTTATTTTTCAGTCCAGCGATGTTAAAAATAAAACTTGTACATTTCTTCATAGCACCATAGTCTACTTGCTTGCACTAGTTTTCTTGTCTGGGAATAATATACTGGCTATGCATAACACTTTGTCTCGGKTCGCATGGAGCAGAGCAGTGTTTTATGCAGCGTGGTTTATTATCTGGGCACCCTGCTTGAGCAGTGAGGTTCAGACAGGTTGTTCCTGGGTTCTTCTATGCCCTCAGCTGTCTGGGGGTATGAGACTGARGGCTGAATTACTTCACTCACCTGAGAAATGCTGTAAGTGCCCAGAAATACGTTGGGTCCTGTGCTTTATTGCTGCTGCATAGAAAGAGGTCTTATGTAGAAGAGAAACGGCTCGGTCCCAGTAYGCTGCCTTTTACTAGACATGCTATCTGATAGCCAGCCTGGAAAGCTCCAATAGTCCAAAGTTATTTTATAATGTAAGAGAAAAACATCAGTGCTTTCACACTAAAAAGAAAATCAGCCATTGTTATAATGCAGCATTCTGGAAGAAAATAAATTTTGGTTTTAAGTTTCAAATGTCAGTGACAAATGGTGCATTTTTTTGTTCCTGTTTATTTCTTTTCCACACAAATTGTTCGGATAATACAAGACTGACTCTGAAAGGCACTTATAACTGGAGAAGTAGTTCAGCACAGCTCAGGGTATGTGAAGTTAATGGTAAGTGTGAAGCATTTCAATTTGTTTACAGTTCTTTATCATTGGATCTTTTCTGATGAGTTGTTTGACTTTTGTAGCACAGTATGGTATGCAGTACCATAAAAACATGGAACAAAAGTACAGGTTTTAAACACTGAAGAACAGATTTATGGATTCCAGGCATTGAATCCTTCCCCTTTTTTTTGATATTTGATGTAATTAAAATATTTAAAGTAAAGGTGCACTTTTTAACTGACGAGAAGAAACATACTATGTGCCAATTAGGATTGGCTCCTACCAAGTGAAAAAAATGCAGCCCACCTATTTTAAAAGCCATCCTGTTTAAGAAATTAAACTCTGTTATTCCCAGCTAGGGATAATGGTGCTCTGATCCTTTCCTCCATTTTAAGAAATGGAACATCTGTGATGCTAGACCATAGCCTGAGACAGCAGCAGCATTTTTGTGAGCTAGAATACTGTAATACAATACCACAGCATTCTTTTTGTTTTATTTTTTAAAGGAATCAGCTTTTAATGCAAAAACTCTTGCAAATATATAAAACATTGTGGATCGATCTGTTCTCATGAGCCAAGACAAAAGAAAAGAAATGAGCATTGTTAGAGTCAAAGCTCCATGGCTAGAGTCCATGGAGGAAACAGGAAAGATCTTACCAAGCCCTGAAAATGACTCCCTGGTGGTACTGGAATCAACAGGACTGCTTCTGCTGTTCCTCTGTCGTGTCCCAGGGGAGGGTTTGTAAAATCAGGCTTGATTTAAGCATCACAGAGATASAGTGTGAGGCAGCCTCAAAGAGAGTTCAGTGAGGAGCAGACTTTGGAAGTGGGAAGTAAAATATTGTAAGAGAATGGGAGGGATCTTATTTTGAAGGATGAAAGCTAAATTTTAGCTCCCCAGCCAGTGTAAACCAGGCTAGAACCATAGGTCGGCTGCAGTCTCACTTACAACTGGAAAATTCTTCAGTTTGTCCAGAAAGGGCCCTGCGTGCCAAGCCGCCGCAGTGATGTGAATGGAGTGAATTTCTGTAGCTTTTGTCAGAGCTCCCGTGTTGCACTCGCTGTGTAAAAACCTCCGGGGTAGGGTGCAGGAGATTGGGTGGTGAGGAGGTTTTCTGCAAATACGTTTGGCTTTTCACACTCCATTCGGCTTTCAGTGCAAATGTATCCCTGCATCTGGCTATACGTTGTTTCCTGAAGAACATGCTTTGGCGTTAGTCAAACGGTGAGATTTGACCAATGGTATATTTGAATGTGGATTTTGAATATAAACATGTGGATTTCCTTTTCTGAGTACATACAGGAAGAATGCAAGTCTGTTTTTGTGTTTAACTGATTGTGGCTGTCATGAAAGGGTAAGTAATAACACTCGTGTCAGCCAGACATGGTAGGAGAGTGTTTTATGCAAACTGTCCCCGTCCTTCTGTTCCCTTGTTTGTATCCAATAGACAWGGTGAATGGCAAAGAATTTTGTTGTACCATGGGTAAGTCTGTGCCATGAGAAGCAGAGTTTAGCAAGAGTACGTAGAGGTAATGCTGCTTGGAGTGAAGACTGAAAGCCTAAAAGTTCAGATGATGTAGAGCATCCAGTAGAAGTGCTCCACAGGCTCCTCACTCTGTGTCTTTGCCTCACCTGGAAGACCTGAGATGGTGATTCGAAATCAAATTCTGCTGCAAGGATGATTTGTATTAAGCCAGCATTCCCTCTGCTTTTTTTTCCATGCGCTTCCAGAGCGCTAGCCTAAGAAACTTGGCAGAGTAGAAACACATGCTTTAACACATGCCCAGGAAC